TCCTTTTGGTTCCTCACATGGGACGGGCAGAAATTCTTGGCCTAAATATTGGTTGTTTTTGCACTCCACAAGATCTCTATTTTATCTGATGTAAACTGCTTTACCTAGTTAGGCTACATAGGCGCACCCCCCACTTAGCTCTTGTAGGAAAACTAGGCTAATGGTAGCTCACAAGAAACGCACAGTGCGTACGTGTTGGACTTAAGCCTCAAACCCAGAAGTTTAATATAGTAGAATAGAGAATTGGATTCATATGTCATTAGCTGACCTTAAAGTTTTTTCATAACTTTATCAAATACATCATATGGCTACTATTAAACAAAAAAAATCAAGATATTTTAATTTTATATATATATAGAGAGAGAAGAGGAATTTATTCACACTTACGTAAAATCTTAATTTATGTATTATATTTATATAAAATTTTGATCATTCATCTTTTTACCTTTAATAATTAAGATTTTTTATGATTTTTTAAGTAAAAAAATAATTATGAGTAAAAAAATAATTAAGAGTTTTATATAAATATAATATATAAAATTTGTGTAAATGAATTCCTATTTATATATATATATATATACATATTTTTCACAATAGCTTCATCGTTGGTGGTTGTACTGTTTCCTGATAAGCTGGATTCAAATCTCACAATTCACGTGTGACTTGTGTTATGGTGTTTAGATGTTGTGAGTAAAGAATATGTATTCGATCCATTGCAGCAGGTCAGTTTGGCGTTAAGCTTTATCATTGTCATTTTTGTCTTATATTATTACAGGCGTCTTAGTCTTGCCATTTTCCTTTTAAGGATTTGTTCTATTAGGCGTCTTAATATCCATGAAATAAACCTATGCCGGTTGGCTGGTTTCATTGAGATGTGTAAAGAATTTGGGAAAGAGTAGGAAGTGTAATGGCCTAGCCAAGTTTTTGGTTCTACAACTGGGCCAGCCCAGATAATTCTTGGGCTGAATATTTGTTGCTTTGTATTTCTTTCTTTTTTTTTTGGTAAATGGTTGCTCTGTATTTCACTGTATATTTATTTATTTAGGACAAAGATATGGATTCTCAACTTGTCACTGGCTTACTTTATTAAGCCAAAAGATTGGCAACATGTTTACGATCCTATTCCCCTTGGATTAGGTTTTTCAATAGCATTTTAGGTGTGATTAATGACAATTTAATGACAATAAAAAAAAAATGTATATAAAATGACTATTCAACTATTATATTAAAAATAAAAATATTTTATAGATCACATTCTTAAAATGTTTTAAGAATATATTTAAAATTTTATTTTTTAATTAATATTTTAGGAAAC